TATATTCACCACCTCTATCACTTCTAAATTTCTTAATTTTCTTACTAAGTTGATTTTCAACTTCATTTTTATATTGAATGAAAGTTTCCAAAGCTTCATCCTTAGTTCGAATTAAATAAACATAACTATATCTAGTATAGTCATCTATAAAAGTGATAAAATATTTTTTCCAATCTTTAGTTTGAATTGATTTAAAATCACAAATGTCACTATGAATTAATTAAAGTGGTTCCGTACTTCTTTCAATTGAATGCAAAGGAGTTTTGGATAATTTTGTCTCAACACAAATTTCACATTTATGATTTGAATCAATGTCAAATTTATGTAAACATTCCATATTAATTAATCTACGCAAATATCCATAATTAACATGTCCAAGTCTACCATGCCATAAATTTGAAGACTCAAGCAAGTAAAAAGAAGATGTATTTTTATTAATATCAAAGGGTATAACAGTCATTACATTCATTTTGAAAAGGCCATCAGACATGTAACATTTTCCTACATACATCCCGTTTTTGGTAAGTACAAACTTGTCACTTTCAAAAACTAGCCTAAACCCATTTCTGCTCAGCAAAGATCCGGAAACAAGGTTCTTGTGAATGTCTGGTACATGCAGCACATTGTTGAGAGTGAGTTCCTTTCTAGATGTCATCTTCAAAACAATCTTTCTTTGTCCTTCAACTTTGGAAGTTAAGGAGTTGCCCATAAAAAGTTGTTCACCGTTGTCCACTATAGAATAAGATGTGAACATCGTTTTGTCAACACAGATGTGGTGAGTAGCACCAGTGTCCACCCACCATTCTTTAGGATTTCCGACAAGGTTTGCCTCGGAAACAACTGTAGAAAGATTTATGTCATCAACACCATTGGAAATTTTGTCCACTTCGACCATATTGGCTTAAGCAAGCTTCTTGCTTGATCTTCCTTTACCTTTGCATTTGCAACGGCAATCTTTGGCCCGATATCCCTCTTTCTCACAAATATAACACCTGCCATTAAACTTGTACTTCTTAGTTTCCCCTCCTTTAGATACCATTTTCTTCTGTCATTTTTTAAAATCAGTTCCTAAGAACTTTTTTGGTTTTTCACCATGATTGACTAGTACAGTCACAATAGGAGGAGGGGTTGGCGCTGTTACAGCAACCATACTAGTACTGGTTTGGACATTAGTTTGTCCAATTTCAGTAGCCATGAATTCTAAATTATAAAACAAAATTATAATTAGAACTTTATACTACATAGAAAATTTAAACCAAAACTACAGAATTAAATTTTGTAAAAATAAAAGAAACAAGAATTGTAACTTTTATTTCCAATTAATTTGAAAATAAAATAAAATTTTATTTAAAAAAATTAATTCTACACAAAAAATTAAATTTCTGTAGCACTTCAATAATTAAAATACTGAAACAAAATTTTAATTAATGAACACTCAGAAATTATTTCTGAAAATCAAAATTAATTTCTGACAAACTTCACAAATAAATATTCGGAATTGTTAATGACACCAGTATATTACTACTAGTTATCAAAAAAAATATACAGTATATTACTACTATTTATTTTTCCAACCAGAATATTTCATTGTAAAACCATAGAAAATAATTTCTGTAAGAAGAAGAAAGAGAAAAGGAAACAAACAAAAAATTATGTATAAACAGAATAATATGAATATGTCTTAAGATTGTTGGAACAATTTTCTGTGTACAGTAAATAAATTGAAACAAATCAAACAAATCAAACAAATAAAAATAAATTACTTATAGAATTTATTTTACCGAAATGTAATAGTACAAAAAGGTCAAGTCGAGTGTGTGACACTCTGTCCTTAAGATAGATTCGCCCTGCTACGGTGCTTACGGATAAATGGCGTCTATCTCTCAGGATACAATGATCTTCACAAATTGTAGTAGCACTCCAAACAATTTGTACAATAAACAAAACCTGTGTTCTAAACTCTATAAAATTTTTCCTATAAAACGAATATGTAGAATAATACAAAGAAAAAGGAAAATCGGGAAGGGGACAAATTTTTCTGGAGTTTTTCAGGATGTTTTTAGATCTTTAAAACTGCTAGAATTGGGTCTCTATTTATAAGCAATCTGATATGTCCGAACAGGTGCTGTTTTGAACCAAACAGGTATGAAATTGTTTTGAACAGATACAGTTCAAAATTCCAACAAATCTGCAGTAGTTTCATATTTGAATCTGTCTGGAAAAACTGTCTGAAGCTGCTGGGCAGTTTCTGGCAGTTAAAACCTGTTAAAAACCAATTTATCTGTTGGGAATTTTGGACTAGAAGTGGCACTATTATGGACAGAAAATTTGAATTCAAATTTGGTGCAAAATTTTGAATTAATTTCCCTCAATAATTTTTGGAAAAAATTCAAATAGATTTTCTCCAAAAAATTAATGTTAGAATCAACCCAACCCACAACCCACACCTACGCCCAGCCAAACGGGCGGCGGCGCACGCGCGTGTATGGTGGTTTTAACCAAGGTTCCATTTGTCTATAACTCCTCTCTTCTACAGACTTGGGGTGCCTCTTGGGGCCCAACCCAAGTGTTGCCATCTAGAACTTATATACACACAAAAGTTTTCTTAAGTTTCCAATGTGGGACAAGCCTTACAAGGATACCTACATTTACTTCTTTAAATGTCCATTCCACGAACCCGAAAACGATGTCAAGTTCCCATTCACTCATAAATGGTTTTGACGAACCGTCTTCAATATATGACTTGCCATGCGGCAAAGAACACATCACCTCTTTGGACCCTCCCCAAAAGACGTTTTGGACCCACTCAAATTTGGGCTCAAAGTTGGCCCAAAATAAGCCTATAAAAAATATAAAAAATAAAAAACCAAATTTTCCAACAGGAACTTCCAACTCTACCAATGTCATTAGAGATGAGGGAACCTCCTCTATCGAAACCCGTGATTCAAAATCAAAGGCTAATCTACATAAACAATGAGCCACGATATTGCCTTCTCAACAAACATGGAAGACAACCGAAGTCCGAAACAGCCTCAGCTGATCTTGAGCAGCACACACCAAATGATCATATGATGACAAGTCGGCCCCGTGTCTTGTACAATAGACACAACATTTAACAAGTCCCCTTCAAGATGAATATCACTGAGCCCCAGATCCTGTCCAAATTGTAATGCTTTTTACCGTACATGGAGCTTCAAAACAGTCCACATCCATTAGATAAGGCACTTGATCAACCATAGCTGCAATCACCTCCCCATTACAATCTCCCACAACGACCCCAAGACCAGCAGCTTCCTGCCCCTTGCACAGAGAACCATCAAAGTTAAGCTTGAAAATTCCAGCGCCAGGTGCCAGCCACGGTCGCAACTAGGTAATCAGAACATGAACTTGAATCAATTGTGAACACTTATGAAGAATGTAAACCATCAATAGTAGACTATGTGAATATAAATAGCTTTTAACCATATGCCTATAACTAATTAGGAACACACATGAATGGGATTATAGGATTTTGTAAATTATGCTCTGGGAATATGGGAATACTGTATGTATGACACGTGGTTGGTATTACCGTTACTACCATGAACTTGTTTGAATAAGAGAATGATTGCTTTTGTGTTGCTGTACTTCGAAATTGATGCTATGGGACTTGTTAACAGTAGACTAGTTTGATTATAAACCCTAACTACTTGGAAGTATATGCAATCAATATGTTCTATGAATGACTGCTTCTGTATTAACATGTAGCACAATTGAATTAGTGGAAACTGAGACCAATGAACAGTATATGAATGATTACTTTATAATTACGTTCACTGCTATGGGGTTAATATATGAATTTGCCTTGTATACCTGATAACTTCTAAATGACTTTGAATAACTGTGGTGGAGTGCTTAATCGAATACTAAATTGAACAATGAACTGTTGAATGATTGGGAAACGAATTAAGTCCCTGTAACAAGCTGAATGGGAAGGAAACTACTTACGAAAATGGAAAATAGTGTGAACCTAAGACATCTGGTCTACATCTGATGTGTATATATATATATATATGTGGTAACTCAAGTTTCGAGGACCAAACTTTTTAAGGTAAGGAGACTATAACAACCCCAATCTATAGTTAACTACTAATTCATAATTAAGAATGCTAATTAAGTGTTTAGAATGGAATTATGTGTTATCATTAATTGTGATATGTGCTTTGGGGTAATTTGTGCATATTTATATGATTTGAAAACTACTTGTCATGATTTTTGCTTTGAATCTGAAATTGTCAGCCTAAATGCTTTCAGAAGCCGAATTTGAGTTCATGGATTGACTAACTAGAATATTTGGAACCATATGAAAAGTTTTGTTAAAAATTGATTTAGTTCAATAAAATTGCGTGTGATTAAATTGAGCTTTAATTGGAACTATTTTTGAATAATTAAATTTTGTGCTAACCTTGACTAATTAAGGTTACTTGTGTTTGATTTAAATGATGCATGATTGGTACCTAATCTAATCCTATTAATGATCCAAGATGTGATTAAGTGTATGATGTGCTAAGGCATTTTGTAATGTTGCTGAGAAATCAGTGTGGGTGTATTGAGAAATTTGAGTTAGGCATTTGGTGATATTGAATGTAGGGGATTACAACTCTTGTGGGTGTGTTGGAATAATGCATGTGTGTGCACGTGTTATGTATTCAAAATCTGAGAGTGCGTGTTGTGTAGTTTCTGATGAGAAATGAGGGAATGTAGGCAACATTCCTTGGCTCATTCTACTCCATTGAGTTGAGAGTTCAAGCTAGAGAGGGAGAGAGAGTTTGGCTTCAGAGAGAGAGAGCTCAAAAGTTTGAAAAAGAAGAAGAGAACTAGGAAGATTCATCTCACATTTCTGAAATTAAAGCTTTGGGTAAGGATTCTATGTCTAATTTCTATAGCTATTCCTCCATGCCTCATGATTTCATGAAGTTTTGAGCTACTTTCATGAGAGTGCAAGAAATGGGTCTTTGAACATGTAGATGACTTTCATGTGTATTCATGGTAGATCATCTTTGATTTTATCATTTTGAGTTTGAGTTTTAAAGTCCTTGCATGCATGTGAGTTTAAATCATGTCCATTGTTTCAGAAATTTATGAGTTTGTTGATCACCATTTGCATGTTATGAAAAACCATGAAAATAGTTGAAAAATCTTGCATGAAGGAGTTTTGGTTCAATTCTTTCAAGAATTGATGAGTTTTTTAATAAAATATGTTTTAAGGGTCTTGTATTGAAGTTTTCTAAAGCTATTTTATGTGTTTGATCAAATCATGCAAGTTATGCAGTTGAGAGGTATAGTCCAGATCATAATCCATCTTTCATAACAAATGTTGAAGATGAGTACTGGAAAAAGAGGATTTATGGAAGAAAAAAACAACAAACACTGCTAGAAAATGGACTTTTTGTCTATTTTTTTGCCACCGTCTGTTTAGCCGTGGCAAAAAATATTGAATTTGCCCCATTTATTTCTCTTATTTTCTTTGATTTATATTTGCCCTAGCCAAATCTAGACTTTGCTCGCTCTCTCTCTCTCTCTCTCATTGATCATAGTTTGAAGAACACCGATATAAATGTCTCTCTCGATCTCTCGCTCTCTCAATCTCTATATCTACCGACCATACATCACCTCACATATATACTTTTTCGGTTCATAAACGATAGGGTTTCGCTGAATTAAAGGTATTAATTCAGTATAATTGGAGTACTACTCTAATTTATTTTCTTGTTGATCGAACAAAATCAACAAATCCCAAAATTTGATTATGAGTCGCTGATTTCAACTACCAATGCAGAGCTCTTGAAGTGGGCATGGCGGACCGAGAAGGCTGCTCCCGAGATTCTTCAGTTCGAAGCCTCTTTAGTTCAGAGGTCCCGAAATCCACTTGCTGGTAATCTCTCTCTCTCTCTCTCTCTCTCTCTCTCTCTCTCTCTCTCTCTCTCTCTCTCTCTCGATTTTGTTTGTATGTTTTTATATGTATCTAATTTTATTTTTCTTTGTCTGTACATATATACACGAGCGCATTATATGTAAGATGCAGAGTAATGGTGTTGTAAAGGCTTTTTGTAATTTTTGGAACAAAATTTGCAATGTGCTCCTTGAAAATTTTGGTCTGCAAGAGATTCAGTTCTTCTTTTATTTTAATTATTAATTTTTAGGGATTTTCTGATGAATTGAGTCCATATTTAGGACAAAGTTGATCTCATTAGAAAATTCACCACTTTGTTCATGAACATCAATGGGGAAAAATCTGAATACTTTTTAATTTGGTGGTACTAGGAATTGATTCCATAAGTACCGAGGCCAATTTTCTATAAAAAAAAATAATAATTAAGAAATTGTTAGTTATTATGTTCACAAACTATTCACCTGTAGTTCTGCTTACTGTTGCATTGCTTATTTTTTCAGTTCAATAGGAGGCATGCTCACCATTTGTGAAGAAGTACAAAACCATCATACATCCTAGAGAGGTATGGCCTATGCACATATACTGTCTGCCCTATTATTTTTATTCAGATGTTCAAACATGAATCAACAAAGTTATTAGACTATTGAGTTCTTATCCAATGGATATAAGAAACGAATTTTTTTTTTTTTTTGATAAATAGATATAAGAAATGGATTGCAATAACCACTGCATGTGCATATACTGGAATTGAATGTTTCCAACACAGGTAAATTCTCTCTAATTTATGGTTTTATAATTTTATTTTATTTTTCTAGTTTTTTTTTTATTTTTTAACATCTATATCTACATGTTTAATTCCTTAAATAGTTCACTTCCTTCATGTTCCTAATTGACAAGGTCAATGATCTTATTTTATTGAAATTTAGATCCTCTTTTCTTCATTCATTTACATCACCATCTAAAATCTTACTTGTATTGACATTATGTTTCAATTACTAGAAGAGTTGAGGAAGAAAAATTCCAGTGCTGAAGTTCACCTATTTGTTGCAAGTACTTTACCTTGGTCCTTCTCTCTCTTTTGATTGCTCTTAGTGTTACATTTTTTTTTTTTTTTTTTGTTCACTTAGTACTGCTCCCATAGATGAATATCTGAAAAGTACTTGACTAGATAAAGAAAAATTTGAAACTGCAATCCATGACATATTGGAGGGAGTATATCCTGCTATAGCTAGCAAGATATTTAGTATTCTCCCAAGTGATGCATTTTCTTTTGGACCTGGGAGCAATACTGAGGTATGTAAAATTACAAATTAGTAAGATGACAGTGCATAGAGGTGTTCTGATCCTTGCATTTTACATGCTCAGGTGCACATATGCTGTGCATTTTTTGGTTTTATTACTACTCTCTGCGTACGTGTATTGGGTGCTTTTATGGTGCCCTTACCTACGTGTTTTTTCTAAAGCGTTTTTTTAAATGCTACTTTTTCCTACAATTATTCAATCTAAATTTTTGCTTTCTGTTTATTTTTGGCCTACACGCCACAGAGAAATGAGAAGCGCAAACAACAATGCTCTAGATATAATAAGCGCCGCTGCGACTACAATAAATGTTGTTTCAAAAACTGGAGATAAGGTTCCAGATCTATCGGAGTTGGAATTTGAGGCCATATCATCTAAAGATGGGGCATGGTAAGCTTACATGTGAGAAGCAATAAAGATGTTTTGATGTCTCTTAGTTGATATCTAGCTGGTTTGCTTTTGTGTTTGTCCGCTACGGATGTACCTATTATTATTGTTATTTATTTTGTTTTCTTGCTTGTGATATGCATGGTACAATAATGCTACTTTGGAGTTTGATCTACATCATCTAATAAATAATTATTTGCGACAAATGTCATTGAAAATTATTTGCGACGGTAACAACATTGTCGCCAAAAAACATGTTAGCATTTTTTCTTCGATATTTGTGATGGCAAAATAGCGACTGCCATAGCTGCTTTGCCATCACAAAAATATTTGCCACTCCTACATTCGCGACCCTCATTAGCCGTTGCATGGGCCGTCACAAAAGGTCTTTTGCGACGATATCTATTATTTGCGATGCTTGAAGTGGTCACAAAAAGTACGTTTTTTAGTAGTGAAATAAAGAAGCTAAGCAACAAGCTACATTTCAAGCAACTGAACATTTAAAAGTCGTTATGGAATTTAGATTCGCGATATTTGTCACGCCCTGGATTTACGGAGTCCGGCCCACATGAATAGACCACCCAATGATAAACAATAGATAACAATCCTCATGCAGATGTATATAATATAGTCACACAATATATGTATTTATCCATTTTCATACATTCCCATATACAACATTTAAATCGAATGGATGTCCTGTAATTAAAACATACACAAGTGTTATACATTAAATTGAATGCCCAGAGGCTTATATCATATACAAAGGGTGTAATCCTTAACAAAATGGCACACAGCCAATGGCATGAATGGCCCATGGCCTACAAATAACAGAACCACCCTACACGGTTTCGAACACAACTTCACGTCTCAATTCGCATCCACACATGTACACCTGAAAAATATTTTCAACCACGTAGGGTGAGCATAAAGTCCAGTAGAGAATGTTTCAAAAACTAAACATGCTCCACCAGCATAAATGATCATGATGCAATACACATATACAATATGCCCAAATGCAATTTCAAATCCATTTGATTTCTGAACAAAATTCTTTCTTTCCAATTATCAAAACCTTACATTTAATCAAAACACTTTTCAAGTTCAAAACATTTGGTAGATATAAAATTTCTTTCCAAAAACCAATATAGGTGTCTCAATACCAGCCAGCAAATACATTGCTAAAACCATAACCAAGCATCCTGATCCAAAACCAAAATGATAATAAATAAAATGGATAAATCTCCAAGACTGATGTTCATACGAGTAACTATACAAGTTAAAAGGTCATTTTTACCGGCACTAACCGGAAGGCTCGACACCTATCGCGCGGGTTTACTTCTTGCACCATGGACACACAAGCCAACTTAATTCGGCTTTAACACCCCCTCATAGCTTTATCACTTCATTTACCTTTTTCCGATAGTACGATACATATGATCCAAAATATTGTTTTCCAAAACAATGCAAATGTTCCAACACATAATACGAGAGTTTCCAAAACAACCTTTTCAAAAATACACAGTTCCAGTTCCAAAATCCATTTCAAAATCCATAACGTGCACATGACATGTATGATTTTAATTTGCCCAATCCACATGCAATTTCTAACACACGGCAATGCTATCCTCCATCGATAGCCAAAACAGTTATCTCTAATGCAATAATTAAAAGATAACAATATGGATATACAATACAATAGTTTCAACAATCACTTTTCTAGAACATTTTCAAAAGAGTATTTAATACTCAGTGTTTTTCCAAAACATCAACATACTTTTCCAACCAAATCCATTTTTCATAATTCTACCCAAATTTCCAAAATCAACATCATTTAGGATTCTTCTATAAATTGGGGTTTTTCTCTTTTAGAAAATCATATGCAAGTTTTGTATACCAAAAATACTTTTTAATAGCAAAATCATAACCAACAACCCCTAATTTGGACAAACCTTCAACCCACAAATATATCCCAAAAATCATCTAAGCATCACAAGATCTATATATCAAAATATACCACAAATACACCAACGAACTCACATCGAGTTAAGGAAATAGACCCTACCTCTTGAAGTGAAGAGGAGACAAGCCAAAAAAACCCACCGGCAACGAAAAGACGATCCGCACAGATTAAATGGAAGCCCTCGTCAAGCTCTACGTTTTTTACAAGGAGACTAGGGTGAAGAAATCAAGGGATTTAGGTGTATTTGTAGAAAGAATGTGAGTTCTATAGAGAAAGGCTGTAGATTTAGGGGTTTTAGAATGTTTAGAGAGAGAAAGAAATGAAAAAATGACCCAAAAAGTGACTTTTAACAACTAATATACGCTCAGACCGCTCGAGTGCACAAAGTGACCGCTCGAGCGAAGAATACCAACTCTCAGAAGTTTTACAAGTAAAGGACCACCGCTCGAGCTAAAAAAACATCGCTCGAGCCAACACCACTTGAGCACAATAAAGACTGCTCGAGCGAAGAATGCCACCCTCCCAGCATCTTTGCAGACCTGCAAAAGTACTGAGAGTTCTCAAAGACTGCTCGAGCGTAAGAATTACGCTAGAGTGAAGAGGCCAAAACCTAGGCAACAACCGCTTTGAAAAACAAGCTACCAACCTATTCCAAACGCCAACAAGACACTCCACCAACCAAACTTAATGAAGTACAAGATGAATAAGACATGAACAACCATATAAGACAATGAAACCCGGATCCAGAACACCAAATGGGTCAGGTCTAAACTAGAATTGCTATAATATCAACTTTAACGAGTTTGTATGCAGATTTGTGTGACTCGTACATAAAAAAAATTTGTTGAAAATGAAAACTTAAGGACGCAGTTGAAAGATGTGTTTGATCCTAGTGAAGAATCATTGGTGAAAACATGGAATGATGAAATTCAAAATCAATGAGGAATTTGTTGGAATTTAATTTAGAATTAATGTTAGATACATTAAAATGTTTAGTTTATGTATTAGAATCTTAAAGTTTGAAGCATCATTTCGTTAAGTTCAATGTGTTTTGGTGAATGTATTTAGGAAAGTACATGAATGTATTTGGTGAATGTAAAAAGTCCTCTCTATAAAGAGGTTAGTGATCATTGTAACAATATAATAAAGACAAAACAAGTAAGGAAAAAAAGAAATTTGAATATATAGAGTTTTTATTGAGGTGTTTGTCTTCTTAGGAGCTATGTACGACCTTTAGGTCGTACATATCTACAAGCTTTGTTTTATATATATGAGTGAGTTGTGTTTTATTATTATTAATGTCCGCCATGCTTGCCAGAGTCCATCAATCTATTAAGAGCTCCTAATCAAAACTGAATCCTCTTAGGCCTTGTTTGATTAACAAGATTAATAGTAAAATGATTAATAATCCTGTGAATTAGTGTAAAATTAGTTCTCAAATAAAATTAGTGAGGTAACCATTTATTATGTATTCATTTTATTTTTTCTTTCATACTTGAAATTATGATCCTCAACCCCTCTCAATTTTAAAAATTCGTTGATTTTGTCGAATTGAATGTCTGTTGTACATGTAATTTGATTAATAAAATTTACAATCAAACATAAGATTATGAGTTTATGAATTAACAATTTCAATTCTATGCTTTAATCCTACTAATCAAACATACTTTTATAATTTCGATGGAGATGATGGTTGTCAAGGAGGAGGAGAGAGGGGATCACCAATGGAGAAAAGGATTTGCCATAGGGAATGGGAACTGGGGGAGGGTGACAGAAAGAGGAGCTACCTGAGGAAGGTTGTAGAAGTGGGGGTCCGAAGGGTAAAGTTAGAATAATGGTGGGTGCTCATTAGTCAACTTCTAATATTTTCTGTATAAAAAGATGACTAAAAAGAGCCAAATTATATATATATATATATATATTTTGTCCTTGACCTTTTCCCGTCGATAATAATAATAATAACAATACTGCATTAATACGTGCCAAGGAATTTCAATATGATCGTTACAGAAACTCTGAGTGCTGGTGAAGCGAAGTTTGGCCATGGATACTCCACTGAGGAAAAAGATCATTTGATATGAAGCACGAAAAAGATCAAGAGCATCAAAGGTTTAGAAGATGATACAATGGTGGAAAACCAATCGGTCGGGGGTGAGAACTTGGGGGTTATGACTAACCCAGTTGCTCCTGATGTTTCAATGACTGAAGAAGGATTAACAGAGGTAGCGAACAGCAATTTAAGCAACGAACATTGAGGAAAGATGAACCAAGTGAAATCCCTCAAGCAAGCCCTCCTCAAATCAAGATTCAACGAAAAAAAGAATGAAAAGAACTTCGATTGTGATGTGGAGGAAGTATCATCTGATGAAGATAAACCAAAGATGGCACAAGAACCAACAGATGATGGAAAGGCTATGGAAGATGATAATGAGGGTATTCCCAGAGTTAAGATCCCCCAAGCTCTGTTGAAAAAGATTAGAGAACCTTGGAAGAAGTGCTTGATCGTCAGATTGCTGGGAAAGAAAACAGGATACAAGCTGTTCATGGCAAAAATGACTCGACTTTGGGGCCTTCAAGATGATTTCGAAGCCCTAGATATTGGCCATGGCTTTTTTATTGTTAAATTTGATATGATAGAAGATTACACCAAAGTCTACACTGAGGGGCCATGGATTGTTATGGACCATTATGTCACGGTGAGGAAATGGCAGCAAGATTTCAGATCAGATGCTACAGAAGAGGATACCACAGCTCTATGGGTGCGATTTCCGAATCTGCCTATAGAATACTATAATTAAAAAGTCCTTTACCATATTGTAAAGGTCTTAGGCGTTCTATTAAAGACTGACATCAATACCGCGATGGCATCCAGAGGGAAATATGCACGAGTGTGCATTGAAATGGACCTGCGAAAGCCCCTTGTGTCTCAATTTACTATTGGTAAGAATATATATTGTAACAACCCTCATTTTTGACTTAGTCATACTTGCATACATTTGTGGATGATCTTGTGTTAATATGTGCATCTGTAAATCTTGTCTTGTTTTGCTTGAATAATTGCTTGCACGCTTTGTTCTTGTCTGGTGTGTTGCCGAGGTCATCGTAAGCCTAGACACCTTCGAGACCTTGGTCACTTAGAACTATCTTGGAACCCCGTTGCTTGACCTCCATCT